GCGGGTCCATTGCCAGCTTCCAGTGCCAGTCAATACCACAAGCTTGTACTGCTTTTGTCTACAGAATAGACAAACCAAATGACGTAGCAGCAGGAGTTGAATGATAACAGGTCCTTAGGCTATGCGGGCATCAATAAATATGCAGTCAAAGTGACATTCAAACTAATCGACTGGACTAGTTCTTTAGCTCTACTTATTATACCCGCTATGTATATGTGTAAAAAAAGATTTCAATAGATTGGACTCCATTAGATTTAATCTTCTTTAGCGTATTGAGTCGAACCATCCATGTTAGTCTGCCTGATCTGAACTGTCTGTCAGAAGGCGTCCATCTCCGAGACGAAAAGAGCTGGAGAATTTAAATTTGATATGCATATTCGCTTAAATGAAGTTTATTGTCTCTTTTCAATTAGTATTCATTTTCAAGTAAGGTCTGACATATCAGTGAATACCAGAGCAAGAACTCATTAGACTTTAGATTGTAACGCCGAGCTCGTTGGAATTAATCGGCTTTTTTGCGCTGGGTTGAGCTTGATCTCACAAATAATTTATAATCTACTCTGCATTACTGAATTGACTTGCACTTCTTCACAGTTTCGTTTGATTGCACAGAATACGTGTGTTTAAACTTGTTGTCTCATTAAGAGTCAATTTATTCACAAGTTTTTTTGTTTAGATTTTAATTTGGCTACAGAATTACCTTAACTGTTTCTGAATTATGTGTTACTTTTGGATGAGCTTCTATTTGATACCCAATTGAATGACGCATCAGCAGCAGGCCGGAAGAAATGTGTTTGCCATTTCGCAAACAATTTAGTCTTCAATATGTTGGCCCCTTAGGATATTGTAAATACTTCCGTCTGAATAAATATTTAATCAATCAATTTCGACAATTTCTTTTGGCTCGTCAAATACGCACACAAACTGAATGATACATTTCCAACGAACGATGTCGATGATAATAATAATAGTAATAATGATGATGACGACGATGATGACATTGCTGTTGAGGCATAAAACAAGTCAGACACATAAAATTGATTTGATTGAAATGTTAATTTCGTACGCAATCCGACAAAGGAATTTTGCGGCTGATTTCCATAAACAACACCGGCAGTCTAAGAAGAGAATAGCTGGAGGGTAGGTCTCTCTAATCCGACTTAGTCACTCTCAATGAGCTGGACTTGCCTAATGACAGCGCAGCTTTAGGTAGGTGGCTTCACTGTCCTCACTCTGAAACTCATTTAGTGAGTTTCCGCTTATCAGTGATTCGTTTGCATCAGCTTCAGCTTCAGTTTCTGGTTCTGGTTCTGGTTCTGCTTCAGTTTCAATTTTGATTTCAATTTCGATTTAATTTTCGTTTTCAATTGAACTGATTTTTCCATGAATGCGCACTTCTCTGGTTCTCGCTTTGTGCTCTGCGTGTGATTATCAGAAATGTTATTAGTTTTGCCTCCTGTTCCAGACAGTTGCTTTGAACTTTGGATTTGCGTTTGATGTGTTGTCGATATATTTTGAGCAGAGTCCTGAGACGAGTGGCATTTCACAACTGCCAGCAAATGACATATGCTTGTATCTTGTGACATGGGACTTTTAAATTGTATTCCATTTTAACTCAATTCAATTTGGTCTGGTTGTCATAGAACTTTCGATGGTGGGCTTTCCAGATTGACTATATAAATATATTTTGTGCCGCAGATTTGCCTTTTGTCTTGATTTGGCCTGGTAGATATGCAACATGCATGGACGTGGCATAATTAAATTATTTATTATTGCTTAATCCAAACTCTGTTTACTTAACACCTTATGGTTTATCGCTGAACTATTATTGTCTTTTATATATCTAAAGATGAATTTTGTTGTTTTTCCTTAAAGGCATATCCATTTGTATAAAAACTGCGATAGGAGGTTTATAACTGAATAAATTTCTTAAATTAACAGCTTTGAGTCCCTGTCCTTTCTTACGCTTAAAACAATCTGCTATTCACAGCTGTAGTTTGGACATGCTGCGTTTTGACTGTATTAAAAAATGTGATGTCTAAGTTATTCTTAGCTCAAACAGTTTGCTATTGTTGACTGTGTAAGCTTTTGCATAGTCTAAAATGGCAGTCAGCTGAACATAAAGTTCTTTGCCCCGAGAAGAAATTTGGCAAAGGCAAATGCAAATTTTGAAGCAATTTTCACTTATTAGTTTGTTGGTTGGCGAAAGTTTCCTCACCAAACGCCCATGAAAATCTACAGCGGTTGGCAATGGCTTGCAGAAGTTTCCGAATTATTGGCCTCTCAATGAAAAATCTGTGTAAGTTGAGAGAACCAGGCTGAATTTGACTTATACTTAAAATTAAATATGTTCTAGTTCCGCCTTTTAATTGTCGAATTTTTTCTTGCAAGTTACACAAATATTTGACAAGTGCCGCATAGCTTGATAATAGAAAAACCCTCCAAGATATTTTGTGTTCCTCTTCAGGTTGAATTTTTATTACTTTACAGCAAATTTAGTTGTAATTGTTCAAAATATGTAAGACTCTGAGGTAAATTGTCCTGTTCTTCCGTGTGCTTAAAACTATCGTTACCAACGTAATTTAAATAATTTTTAAAACTTCCTGGATAAAAAAGAACTAAAACAATAAAATAAAGACCAAACTAGTAACAAATCCAAAATTTGATTGGGCTTCCTAGTCAGCGAACGGATCATCCTCGATGGTTTGGCAGGCCACAGAGTCGCCAGTACGCTCCGCAAGCATGTTGAGCTCCGGCTTTATAAGTGGATCTGTTTGAGTGGACCCATTATCGCCCATAGCCTTCTTAGATTCAATATTTGGCAGTGACTGCTCTTCGGCTCTTTCGTTCGTGTAGTTCTTGAGGCCCTGATGCACCTGCTTGAGACTTTGGGTTAGGAAACTAATGCGGTTCACAATGCGCGTGATTCGATCGTGTATGACCTTCAGCTTATCCCGATACTCTGGCATATCTATTGTGCTTGAAAATGCAAGGTCAGTATCACCGCCACTGTCTACGTCGCCATCATCATAGCCATCTCCGCTATCGATACCGACGTCAATACCGTCACCGTCAGCACCAACATCAACTGCGACGACATCTCCTGAAGTGCTGGTGGTCGGCAGATGATGCTCCCTATCACTGTTCCCCGCAATTTCAGTTTCCGTCGCATCCCAGTACGATTCAGTTTCTTCACTATCTGTGTCCGCAGATGGCACGGGCATAGGTTCAATGAGTTCCTCAGACATTTTATTAAAATGTACAAATTTGATACTTATTTACTTGTATACAAAAAACTTTTACAGCTAAACAGATATTGACGCTATAAAAATGTCGATTTGACTGAGAATCAGCTCAGAAAATACTCGCATTGACAGCTATCAAAAGGCACAAAAGGCAGAGCCTGCCTAGAAAAAGAGTGTTCCCGCCGAACAGAACAAAACACAAGAAACCCATTCAGCGAATTGCATTTGACGAATACAGAGTATGTGCGACACAAAAGACTCATAAATTTATGTGAAATCAATTAAAGGCCATTTTAATACACACACACACACCCACACATACACATCCATCCACATCCACATCCACATCCGCACAGTCAGCGGGTAATTGATCCAATGGGCCAGGCAGGCAAATAAATCTCTGAAAGTGGATTGAGGAAAGCAGCCTGAAGTTTCGCCATGAGTGAAGCAAACGAAATCAAATTCTATAAGTTCTCACTGTGAAGGGGTGGCTGGGGCGATAGGAGGAGTGGGTGCCATGAGGCAACACAGAAGGCGCCAGCGCCGCAAAAGACAAAGACCAAAAAGCGAAAAGCGGAAATGCAGCATTCATCTCCTCGTTCGTGCTATTTGAAAAACAGTTTCAATGCATGTTTGCTGTCGGTTTGCCTTTTGCCTATATTCCGCATGGTCGTGCATTTTTATACTCGATTCTCAAGGCAAAAACGAGTATACTGGCTCGTCTTTTTTTTAAAAAACCCACGTAATAGACTACTCAAAACGTCCCCTAAAGATGGAGCCATAAATATTGCTTTCACAACTTGCAAAAATTCATATTTCTTAGCCTTGTTTCTTCTTCAAAGTTACAAGAATACTGTTTCGTGTGATTTAGTGGATATTACAGAGTATTACTATACCGGTTACACCCGACAGCAACGGGTTACTTGAGTTTTTTTGTTCGTCGGGTGAACTTGAAGCCCTGCACATCTGCCTCCGAAGGAAATAGAGTAGTAAATCTGCAATCTGTTATGTAAAAATTGTTTTCGTGCATTATATAGTCATCTGATCCCAATGTGTACTCAAAAAATGCATCTGTGGCCAGTTTCATAAAAGTTTCTGTTAAATAGAGCTCACTCAAACTGGTAGATAAATATTTATGGCTTTATCCACTTCGCTTGCCATTCTTGCCGAGAATTGAGTACGAATAGCGAACTCTTCATGAGTTACATTGTTTCGTGATCAAATTTCAAGCCAATTTGTAGAATTTCTAGGCAAACTTAGATTGTAGGCATTAATTATAATATTAACCAAACGAACTGGCTGACTAAGTTACTGGCTGGTCACCAGCTGGAATGTATAAAGTCTAAGACTTCTAATGCATTTTGTACATGTACAAAAAATATTAATTAATTTTTCAAATAAATGGAATTAATTATAAATTTATTGAAAAAGGAGCTGTTAGAAACGACACAAAATCGATTTCAATTTATGCTTCAGTTTTTTATTTAGCGAAATCTCAATGCGTTGATAAGTAGGCAACATATTTTTGTGTGCATCGGGTAGCTGTGGGTAGAGTTTGCATAAATTATGCAGTTTATGCATTCTCATTTCGGATTAAAAAAGAGATTAATCGTAAATAGATAAGTAAAAATAAAATGTCATTGAACATAAATAAGTTTGGAGGTGTTGCTAATTTTGCATGTTTGCTTGTTAACTTAATTATACTTTAAGCTTGCATTCTTTCTAGTTAGTTAAATTTAATTTGATATTTATGTCAACTTCATTTATTAAATTAACACTAAAGGAAAACTGTAAGTCTGTTACTCACTCCTCACCAACTCGTAGTCAATCAATTACAATTAAAAGCCCATAATGTGTCGTTTGATTGACGATCTAATTGAATGCGGGAAAATCAGCAGTCGTGATATGTGGCCTGAACAGCTGTATAGTTCCAGCACAATAAATAACCATAATAACTACTTGGCTTATAACGAGCATAGCACGCCCACACATGGCTGCATTAAAATGCCATCTCTTGAGATTAATGCGAAAAGGTCATGCGAACATTTAACGAGGGCCACTCACTGTGGATTGGACATTGACCTTCGCTTTTTATATACCCTGCACGTGCGACATGGCGTCGATTGGGTATAGGTATAGCTAAGCGTTAACAGAAGGTAGCCCAGCATCCAGTACTGCATATTTATCCAGCTGGTATTTTGAGACATTTGAAAAATTAAATTGAGCTTCTTACAAAGCTTCCTAGAAACAACCATTATACTTTAATCTACATGTCCGCAGAGGTATTTAATCTTCGACACTCTAAAGGAAACGTTTCCTTCTCGCTTATGTGTCTGAAATGTTTTTGGTCGAGTCTTTAGACACGTGACATTATCACAAAGGTAAACAAAAATGCCGTGTGTCAACAGAGGGGTAAAAGCGGGAAAGTTACGTGAAATTATGTTGACTTATAACGAAACAAGAGTTAAATATAACTGGCACCTGGCACCTGGCACCTGGCAGCTGGCACCAGACTGGCTGCTCGCCTTTTGTTTGGTAAGTGAAAGTGACTTTTGGCATGTCTTTTAGTAGTTTTTACATTTGTCTTAATTATGGGGCAGGGGCTGCCAACGCGACTGCCACTTGAGAACGAAACCCAAGGCCCCGTGCGTGTCTTATATAAGGCACTAGAAACTGGCGGCATACATATGGACAACACATGCCGCCTGCTTGTGCCTAAGTTGCCCGGCATTTGGCTTGCTTTTAGCCAGCTGCTGCTCAGACTTTTCTGTAATTTATACGGCTGTCTGAGTGCCAGTCTCTGTGAATGTTTGTATCTCCAGCCGCTAGAGCTCAGAAATTTGTTATTACGTTAAATTAAACTTGAAAAATGCGTTAATACTAGCTTCTAGACTGCAAAAGGCAGAAGGAAGCTTTAATTAAATTCCACAATGTTCTTGTTTTCTTTGTGGCATGGCATATGGCACACGTGATATACATACTGTTGAATTGCGTATGCACCATTTAATAAATTTCTTGCCACACTTAATTTCTTAGATACAATTGAGAACTTGCTAAATTGAATATAAAACCCCACAGTCGCCATTCTTGTACAGCAGCTTCTATCCTTTATATTAAAAGCCAGCCAAAAACACACAAATACATATATCCTTAAACAGAATGACAAGGATGCGAATTGGGTTACCAATTGTACGCATGTACGACGAAAAAATGATAATAGGTTTAATGGTTCCGTAAAATGCTCTCTATCAGTATATCAAATTCATTTTAAATACCTATTTAAGCTGGATCCTTTTTCATCAATATTTCCTTTCACTTAAAACCTTTAAAGCTGTCGACATGAATATGTTTTCTCTGGTCTTTAAAAAAAAATGTATATTTATTATATTACTGAAAGTTACATGCAAAAATTTGCATCTGTCCAATTTGCCGCCACGTTTCATTACATAAAATAAAATATATAAGTCAGCTTATCTTCGAAGCGTACTGTTTTTCTGCTAGGTGAAATGAAGCCTTTAATTGGCTTTTCCGACAGTGACAAGTAGCTGGAAAGCGCAATAATTTATATTCGTAAGCATATTACGATTTTCCATTGTCTCTTATTTACAAGTCTTATCTTACTTTATCCGAAAATATATACAATATAACCAGCTGTGGGGTATACAGAACGTTCAGGATAACAAATTTAGCCATTCGATCGGTTACAGTACACACAAAGAACATATTTCTAAGATACATAGATGAAAGAATCTGTTAAGCTCGAAAGGCTCTGCGAGTAGAGGAAGCCGGCCATTTATTTCTGTGGCCTAAAGCGGCGAGTGCCACAGCTGAGTTGAGGCAGCTCTTCAACATTCACTCAACTGACTTGCATTTTTCCAACACATTTCATATTGAAGTTATTTGCAGCCTCCTTGTTTTGTTGCCCTCATTTATGGCTGCTGCTCATTTCGCACCTGCTCTGAGTTCTTCAGGCTGAGTTCTTCAGAGCTGTTCGCCTGTTTTGCAGGTTAAGTGGATGTTGCCCCACTCCTGACTCCTGAGTCCGAGCTTTGAAATGAAATGAATAAAAGTCGAGCAACGACGGCCCGGATACGGTTTGGCACGGCCTTTGCCAGCGGCTGAGCTTTCACAATTAAAATCTGTTGTCGTTCCTCTGGTGTTTGTTGGTGTTGCTGTTGTGTGGCTTATTACATTTTTTAAGTGCACCTTCATATTATTTATTTATCGTGGTTAAGCAACAGCAACAACAACAACAGCTTGTATATCAGAAGGTAAGCAAGGTCATTCGGCATCCGGCAACTGCCTCTTTTAATCAGCCATAAATATTTTGCAGTTTTAAGAAGTGAACGCACACACAATTTACAGCGAGCAGTTTTCACACATTTTCCAAAAGTTTTCCACTGGCAAAAGTTTTTGTCATCTATTTATTTCTTTTGAGCAGGCAAATTTATACACACCACAAAAGTTGGTATTGCACATGGGAGACACATTGCGAATTTGCATGGGAATTTTCGTTTGAGTTGATGCAACTTTTCCAAGAGTTGATAAAAAAAAGGGTGTGACCCAACAAAAAAGCCAGCTCCACTATTTAGTGTTTGCCATGAGCACATGAAGGAGGCCCATACTGATGATGATGATGATGATTATGACTAAAACTGCGCTTGTGCAAATGAGTAGAAAAAACAAAGACAACAAAAATCAAAACAAGAATGTTATATTCCGCATATTGACGATTAAATGCCCTAATAAAGTAAAGTAGTAGGTAATATTATTATCAAATTATGTAGACTAAGCGCATTTAATAAAAATGATTATTTTTCATAATTTCGACCCATTCGACCCATATCAGCTTTACATGTTGAGCTTGCTTTAGTTATCTTTCAAAACTATCCCCACGTCCTGGCAAGGCACCTGCTATGGAGGCGAAAATAACGAAGACTAAAAAGAACCTACCCGACAGATCTAGTAAATCGATGGCTTAAGTGCCTGCATGCAGATCCTCAGACAAGCCAACTAGAACCTGGACTAGATTAAACAAATTCAACATAAACTGCAAAACTATAGTTGAACTGTTAACCCCCCGATCCTCTCTCTGCTAAAGGTTGGTTACTATATTACATATAATAACTAAATAGTTGAATAACATTTCAATGTATAAAGCAATTATTTTAGGAATGTGAACTATTACCCCGATTAACAATATATAATACAAAGATTCAATATTTGTACTGAGTGCAGTCAATTGAAGTGTTACGCACTTTACTAAAATATTTAAAGACCCCTTTTAGGTGCATAAATAGTAAAAATCTTGTTTGCATATTTTCTGTGGCAAATTTGCGTTAGTTTTTGCTTTATTTTTTAGCATTTTGTCCCAAACTAAAACCATTGTTTGCTCTTCCGAGTTTAGTGTCAACGCAGCTATTTTTGCTTGTTTTTACTTTTGCACATGATACGTTTTTCCACACAGTCTGTGCAGTTTCCGGCCATGTTTCAGTTCAGCTGACAAACTTGATTGAACGCATGTAAGTTGTTCAACTGTAGAGAAAGGGAAGAAGGGAGAAGCACTTGTTCGGCAGCCTTTGCTTCTCTATTCTTCAACAGCCTTTTGTTTTGAGAAAATTTTGAAAGTTTTACATTCTATTAGTTTTTAATGTGTTTAATTTGATATATTTATAACCATATTAATGGCATACAAAACTTATCTAAATGGTTATTAATATTCTTCAGCAGAAGGTCTGGCAAAGACACACACACTCAGCTGACAGCTTATTTCGTGGTCATTAAATTGAATTAAATTTTAATTTAATTTGTTCAAGCCCAAAAATTTGTCGCATGCTGTCAGCGTCGACGCCGCCTTTTGATGATTTATTATTATCAACGGCCGAAAAACTTTTCGTCGACCAAATGATTAAAAAACAAAAATCCACTGTCCAAGCTCTTAAGCACACAACTACTAGCAACGCGTTGCACGCGCTTCTTTGTCTGGCACAAAAGTTGTGCCTTTATCATTCTTTGCCGGCGAATTTCTATGTCAAATTGTGTGAACTTTTTTTCGACAACTGCCTGGACGACGACACTTTATCATGTCTCAGTGCTGTCGCTGACCGCCTTTCACAAATTGAAATGTGTCCGCGGCAGTCGAGAGTAAATGAGGCACAACCAAGCCGCAGCCACAGCGGTTCGCAGCTCTTTCCCCTCGACTCTCTCTCTCTCTCTCCAGCTCGATGTATTATGTTGAACAAAAAATGTTTAAGGAATGGCCGCTTTTGATTATGTTACCCTGTGCTCACAACATGCGTAAGCTTGGGTATGATAGAAACCAAAGACCGATGCTCGCGACCAAGCTCTGATCTAGGTACAAGGAATCGCCAAGTCAGAACTGGCTTATATTGCTTTCATACTTGGGAACTATAGAACTGATTATGACAGGGTTTTACGTAAAAGGTATAAGCTACCTGACTTTTGCGTTGAGTGCAGGTACAGGGTATCGCCATGCCGATTACATTCGTGTCAGTTTTCTTTTTTCAATTTTGAAAGATGTTAATTTTATATTTGACATTTGTCCGCATTTGGCTAATATTAAGCTCAAGTGATTTTTGACACCAGGGCATGCATCTACTTAGTGCTCTTTACTCACATTTCAACCGAATATTTAATGTTTCGTTTTAACTGTGGGTCAATGCGGCGTATACGTTACTTGGCTTGGGATATGAGCCTTGGGCGTTTTGAAACTGCATACTCATCTTCAAACCAAATGAAGCTTTTAATTATATCTGAATAGATTTCCATCTGAAAGCTCTTGCCTCTATAGCTATCTGCCAGGTGAGCCGTCTGTTTGGCCACAAAGCATAAAACTTTGTATATCTGTACGAACACCCTGATTCAGTCACTTTAAAAGGTTATTTTTCCCGTTTTGCTGCTTTCATTGCAATTGTTTCTTGCAAGTATTCCATCTGTTATCCCAATTTGATGGACTTGTCAATGAAAGTAATAAAACTATATTCCTTATCACACAGAAGTGGGTAATTTTTATCGTACATAAATTTTGTATTCGAGTCCGAGCTAAAGAAATACTACAAATTTGGTGTGTGTGTGTGTGTGTGTGTGTGTCAGGCTGGTGTGCACAAGCAAAACAATGTCAGGTAGTGTAAAATAAGTGTAAGGCATGTTTTAAGCGAAGTAGCAAATAGTGTAGGGTTTAAAAATTGACATAGTCTAGCTCCCTGCGCAAACGCAGCGTGAGTCGCAGCTTGCACAGTTCCTTGTCGTATTTGGCTTGACAGCGATCCACATCCACGGCGTGAGGCAACGGCAACTTCAGCCTGTATAGAGTGGTGCCTAGGTCCAGTTCCTTTTCCTGCAGTTTTAAGCTCATTTTATCGGCAGTCATTTGCTCATCGGGCAGGGATATGTCGAGTACAAGATCCTCACAGCTCGCCGAGGCTGCTGTGCGTTGGCCCATCTAAATGTAAAAGGAATACAGCTTAACGTGGCTGAGCGGGGTGCAGGGTTGCGTGCAGGAACCTGCAGGAAGACATCCTCAGTGCCAACGGCCTGGCGATAGGTCATCGTGTATTCTGGGTACTTGCGTGTTTCCAAAATGTCCGCATCCTCTCGCTCCTGCGCCTCCTGCCATTCCTCAAGCGTGTTGGGCTGCGGTTTATGAGGTTCCTCCAGCGGCGTTGCCACCAGATTAACCTTTTTCTTGCCGCGGGCCTTGGAAGCATCAACACCAGCACCAGCTGCCTGGGGCCCAATGCTCCCAGGTGCTGATTGAATAATGAATATGAATCCTCTCAGATACTGCGATACTGCTGGACTCCGGCTGCCATTTACTCACTCTGCTTATTTACCACCAGAGATTCCTCCTCATCCTCGCTGCTGCTGCTGCATTCGATTCCACCCCGTCTCCGACTCGGGTATAACAAATTTTGCAGCTGTCGCAGCTGGTCGGGATTGTCAAAAAGCGACATTGCACGCTTTTGTTTACTTTACTATTTAATAAGTAACTTTATTTTATTATTTTCAAAGAGCTTGTTCGTATTCACAGCTCAATGTTTGTTTAAAGAATAAATATGTTATGAACTGTCTTCTCTAAAAGCTGTCCAAAACTGAAATCGATATTGAAGCCTACTTATTGTTGTTCCTCTTATTTTTTATTGGATTTAGGTGGTAAAAAGGTGTGTCTCTAGGCCTGCTTGAGGGCAAGAAGGCAGCGGGTGCAGCTGTAAGTTGTTTATTACGTTGTCCAGGCGACGGAGCTCAGACTAGGCTGGGCGTGGCAAAAAAAGGGTGCTAAATGTGAAGGGTACTCAATGGAAATCCATAGCTCTTGCTGAGAGTATTGGCGCTGTGGCATTTTGGTTATAAGTTGATTACAGTTGTCATAGAACTGTTAAGTCCTTTTATGAGGCACATTAAATAGGATATTGGCTGGTCGAGCGGGCAATTAAAATCCTTCAACGTTGATCTTTCGCTGTTTGGTTTTTAGTTCTCATAGCATTATGCACAGTCTATTTCGGTATAGCTTGACACTATTTGGGTGAACCCTAAAAAAGCTGAATTTATAAAAGTGAAGGCTGAAGGTGCTGTTTGTGCAACGTAAGATGAGACTTGGAACATCCACTTGGCTATATGAAACCATTTTGTTTTTAAAATCCATTCCCTAAGCAGAAAGGCTAGATAAATGTAAGCCCAGTTATTGTCAAAATTATTCAAAGCAGCAAAAATAATTGTACAGATGGGAAAAGGCATTGAAATCCTTTGTGTGCAATTTTTGAGTTAAAAAGTTGTTTTTTTAATTTTTGCACTCCGCGAGTCAAATAATATTTTTTATTTAACATATTTCATAAATTTTGTCAGCTGCCTGGACCTTATCCGTAACCTTAAGCAAAATGCATAATTCACTGCCAAGGATAACTAATGGCAGGCCTAACTTTGTCCTCTCGTGCTTTTACTTAGGTATTTCAATTAAAAACTTGGTGCCATTCATAAAACTTTTTGCCCAGCGTTCGCAGAGACGCGCCCAAAACACTCGACAACTAGTTGAAAAATTAACAACGACAACAAGCAGAAATATTCCACTTGTCAGAAACAATTATTTTTGTAAATTGTAAAAATATTGTTGACCTTCATTGGGTCTTGGCTGCAGCTAGGGCCATGGCCAAAAATTATGAGCGGCAGTAAAACAACAAATTTGCATTTTTCACACGCCTGCTTGGGAAAAGCTCTAATACTGCGAAGCCGGCCAAAAGTAATCGACTGGCCAAAACCAGAAACATGGAAACGTGGCCGCGTGTTAAATGCAAACAACATGACTCTGGCTGAATACAAAGTCCGACTGGCTGGGATACAATAGCTGCGTGGGGTCGAGGCCGTCTCGTTTCAGCTGAATGAAAAGGGATTTTCGCTATTCGTTTTTCATAGTGCCTGCTGCTGATGTTTCTCATCTTGCTGGATCCCATATGTTTAATTTGTTTAACATGCGCGTTTCACACGGTACAACAACAAACTGTGTGCCCGAGAGCGATTGGTTGTCCTTCTGGTTCGTTGCCAAAACAGTTCTACCTGTAAAGACCATTGTCGTAGTTGGCTAACAAACTGGGTCACATCGACCGCAACTGACATTGTTAACTGACTGAAAGGGACACAATTCAGAAAAAACCTACTCTAATTTCTGCTTATTTACAGATATTGGCATTGCTGCTGTTAAATAACTTTCAAGTCGAGAGATATTCCTATTATTATTCTGTAATTTACAATCGTTTATTTAAAACGTTATCTGATCATCCTATTTTAATTGTTGGTATTAATACAAGTTCACCCATGGCCTGGACGTACTGTACGCACAAGCAGCAGGTCCTGTGGCTGTTTTGTCCCAACGTCAAGTTCCCTCGATCTCACTCACTTTATAATTGATTTAAATGGCATACACAAGTTAAGCTAATGTCTAAAAACATCACGTAACTGAGATTTAACCTTTGTTTTGCGCATTCAACTATAACAGCTATTTCATATGGTCTTCTCTGGGGGTTGCCTCGACATCCCAGCTGACGCATATCCACAGGAGACAATGGGCAATCCTTGAATACATGTCTAACTGTATTTTGGTCACACATTCAATGCAATACAGCCCGGATGAAACTGGGTGCGAATAGGTGGGGACGCGTTCTTTTGACTGTCCCCCTATATATGTATTTATCCTGTCATACACAAGACAGTCCCAAAATGTATTTTGGTATAGCCCAATGCCACGTACCGCCGCCTGGCAGCACGCAGTGAAAGTATAAGTGAAAGTGGCGCCTCAACGCCCCTTAAAGCATCTGCTACAAATTTCGGGTATAATATTTTTTTTTTTTTGTTGGTTTTTGCTTTGGCTGCTCCTTTGAATATGATTTGTGAGCTGAAAGCGCTCCAGCTGGCATTTTTTGTTTGCTGGCGCTGCTTTCGAACAGAATATGTATAATTTTCTAGGGGTAGAGGGAGGCAGAGGGGCTGGGAGTTACATAAAACGTAATTAAGAAGGCATTAAGTATCATGCATAAATCATTGAAAACTTGCACATTTACGCCTGTTACATGGTGCGCTTGTGGCGGGGGCTAACACATGTGGGCAACGGGGTGGGACTTATAAGTATAAGAGCTTTATAGCCGCGACTGAGGTAGAAGTTGGGCCTTTATAGTCGGCCATTACTGTTAATTTGATGTTGCCAAAGTCTACAAAAAAAATTTCAGTGCGCCAGCCAAGTTCCTCAACAAAGATTTAGGTCTGTTGATTGCATATACGGGCGACACAGTGTCGCACAATTTTTTGGCCAAAAGGAGCACTACTTCCGGCATTAAAGAATTGTCTCTGCTACTGCGTCGTGCATGTTTCTGTATGAATGAATAGCTCCCACAACCGCACAACCGCAGCAGAACAACAATAAAAAAAAAATATTGTTAAAAAACCAAAAGAAATATCATTTTAGGATAAACGCCGTTGCCGCTTATTTGAGTTTGTGCAGTCAAGCGATGCCAACCAGCGAGGAGTACACATAAAATGGGACAAATAGACGGGGGAATAGAAATAAAACTAAACAAGCCAAGTTAGCAGTATCAGCCAAAAGAGACAGCCAAAAAATGACAACAAAACAGAAATACAATTCAAAACGGGCGCGCGCTCAACTTTAAGCAGCGCACATTTTTAAAGTCCATTGGAGCATAAAATGTAAAAAAATAGAGAAAGAAAAAAATGATGCAGCTGCACAGGTTTGTTCGAGATTTAAGTCAATAAGGTTTCCCGACCACAAAACTCTGCCAGCTGGCGTCTTGCTGCCCATGGCCAATGCTACAACGGCCATAAAGAGTGAGCCACAGCGCTCAAAAGCACAGAGAACAAGTGAGTGAGTGAGTGAGTCGGAGAGAGAGAGAGAGAGAAAGTGTGTAGAGAGCGACTCGTCTAGGAGAGCTGTCAGCTGTTGGCCTTTGAGTGATAAGCATTGAGTTTTCTTTTATACTCCACGTGCCAAAGCTTTCAACTTGCATTACGTTTGTTTGTAAACAAGTCGAAAGCTCGGCTACAGCTGTTTGTGGTGCGTGGCACAGTGGAGTGAAAGCATGCGAAAGTTGATTAAAATCGATAAACAAGAAATACAAGCAGCAGCTATAATATTCATTGTGCTCTAAGACCTGGAATGAACTTCAGTTTGAAGCCTTTTGTTATATAAATATGCTTACTTGACTATAATCTGAGGGTTAGCTTAACTCATTTATTTATTTTATAACTGTGCTAAATCTGCTTCTAACCTAGCACTGACCTATACAAATTAAAACGATTGACACAGCAGTAGAAAATAAAAGCGAAATGTGCTCCAATTGAAACAGAGCGTAAAATCATATATCAAATATGACACATATGAAAAGGTATCTAATAGAAACAATTAAATTTAAATGCAATTATCAAACGCAGCGAACGTATGCAAATTAAATAAAGTACAGCCAGTTCAATTAAGTCCAAGCTCGTGCAATTTGAGCCCAATTCGCGTCATAAATTACAAGCGCAGACGAGTTTCGACAAGTCACGCGTCAAACTGATCGGAATACTTAACTAGGGCTATGCCGGTGAAATGGAAAGCTGTTTCCCAGTGCAAGGGTCTAAGAGACGAGACTTACGCACTTACCCTTCTTCTTCTTCTTCTAGCTCTGGGCACTGGTTTCTTTCTGCGCCCCTGTCTGCGCCCTGGTTTAGCGGTAAATATATCCTCAGCGCTGCTGCTGTCGCCGTCGCTCCCGCTACTTTGCAGACTCTCCTCATCGGAGCTGTCACTTGAGGCCAAGTCTTTCTGTATATTGCCCGTTTCAGCGTCGCGCTGTCGCAGCGCTCGATAGTCACCGACGCCGCTGCTGCCACCGAAACGGTCGCGAAATGATTTATAGAGGCCGGCGCCAACGCTGGCAATACTGCTACGGCCAAGTCCATGTATGGCAGCCGTGGCTGCAGTGCGTCCGCCGTGGCTGCGTCGCTTATTCGCCTTCTGTCGTGCACTGAGCCACGCATCGGAGGCAGACGCCGCGGTCGCCACGCTGGTTGACTGCGCAGCCGTCATATCAAGCAAGGCAGCACTCATGTTAGAAGTAAATAATGATAATACTCTTGATTCCCAGTTATGCAATGGGTGTTGTCGTGCCAGAGCCGTTGTTTACAGTTGGCATGTTGCTCAGCTTGATGGCGCTGCCGATGCCGCTAGAGATTCGCTTTATGCACTCCTGAGTTTTTCGACTAGCGTTGTTACCAATTACGTTTAATTTTTTGTACTTGTATCTGCAACGAGAAGTGGGCGAAAATTTGCATGTACTGAATTAATTAATTAGGAAATTCGATAGGCGCGCCAGGTTTTTAACATGGATTGTTGACTCTATGGCGTATACCATAACTAAGTACTATACGATAAATGGGAAATGGGCAAAGAATGGGCCTACAACATGCCATGGAAAGTTGGGCGAAATGAGCCATGCGGCAGACTGCCGATGCCCTGGGTACTCATAGCATAGAACATCTTATAATCTAAATCCAAAATCAACTGGTGTGTAAAGATTTGATCTACACTGAAAATGAATTCAAGCGAATTAAAGATGCATCCGCTAGTTATCTATAGTTAACCGAAGAATGAGAGTTACCAAAGAGTTTCATTTCCCCTAACAGATATTCGGAACACTTCTTTATGAAATATAATAGCCTTTCATTTATTTTCATATATTTTTGTGGACCCAGATGGATCAAAAACTGTAACATCAAGCATTAATATTACAGTAATTTGCATTTCATGTCCCCGCAGTCAGCTCTCGATTCCCCGCCCCCTGCCATTCATCAATTAAACGCGTAATGTTAAATTATCCGGTTCAAAATTTTGTTAATTCATGTCTCACAAAATAGAAAATAAAAAAAAAAAAAAAAAACAAAACGTCAGCAGCGGCAAATGAACATGAAAATGCGAATTTTACTCGGTTTGTTTGTTTTTTTTTTTCGTATTTTCTTTTTGCCTTTGAGGCCTTGGCATGCAAGTGAAAAGCGTCGGAAAACATAAAAGGTACAAATGAGCGCTTTGAGGCCCTTATGTGATGACAAAGGTTAACGAGTTTATAAGGGAATGTCATTGTTATGGTGACAGTACTTTAATCTGACTGCTGCACAGCGGAGGAGGTTTCATATACCGATAATAATATCCAAATACTTATTTTCTACCCATTGCATGAGCTAAAGTATCACCTAGTCTTAAAGCGTAACGGAAAAATAGCAAGTGGGATTACTAAAGTTGGGTATACCCGACTAGGATATACGCTGTACCTTGCGCCGAGCTGCCTTTCTCAAGAAGTGGAGCAAGCTGAGCAGCTTCTGCTGCGGTTGAACTTGCAATCTTGATTAGCTCTGTTGTCTGTTGTCCGATCTTTATCAAAATGGGAATCTGCGTTCAAAATGTCTGGCATCTGGCTCTGATAGTCCATTAGTTTAAGGCGTTCATCTGACTACCTATACATGGACATGGTTCAACCGACTTGGCTGTTAATATTGACCAAGAATATATTCTTTATGGCATCGGATCAACTACCTTCTTCCTAAAGGGTGTTATTAAATTATGGAAGTGTAGATATGTTTGTCTGTATATTCACCAGAGAATAAAATACGTGAAGATAATAAATTTAGAATATACTTAACATGTATGAATCAATCAAAACTGATTCAAGCTCTGTTTAAACAATGGAAACTTGTTATTCATGTACATAAATGCTCAATTTCTTAATCCAATGTTTTTCTGCCTTTATTTTGCCACATAAATACTATTAGGCCAACTACTTTTTGGGCATAAAAAATCTGTGATTAGCTGCATAATTAAAACCAAGATTAATCATATTTCTATGTGTGTCAACTGGATAGCGAGAAGCTTTTTAAAGCCCCTTCCAATCAGCTAGTTCTAAGATTTCTTGGCTCAGTGAATGCTAATTAAGTGGGTTATCAAGAATATCTGTTGCCATATGCGACAAACATTTAAATTAATTAAAATTCTCACGGTGTATTGACGTTGTGGGCATAATAAACAAAACGTTAAATTGATGCCGCCAGGCCCAGACCCAGACCCAGACCCAGGCCCAGGCCCAGGCGGAGGGCCAGGAAAAGCCCCAGAGACAGTGCTCCACGCGCACACACACGGGAGACTCTCACCCAGAGGAGCCGCGGCCACACCATAGCAAACTGTCACATTAGCATATTGAGAACGCAACGGGCCAACAAAAATGCGACTTGGTCTTTGTTGTTTGCCAGTCAAGCGGCGTTGACGTTGACGCTTACGTCGACGGCGAAGCTAACGCTGACAGCGACAGCGACAGCAACGTCGCAGCGCAGAGCAGGCGCATGCGCAACTTTGGCTTGGCCAGCAGATCGTCGGCCCGTTCGCTGGTATCAGTCGGTTTGCAGACTTTCGCGTGTGCGGTCGAAGAAACGAGACTAAAAGAGACTAACAGATAAATAGAATAAAAAATAAAGAGAGAAAGAAACGAAAATCTTTTATATTTGGACGCGACTTGTTGACAGTTTGAATTATGCTGAACGCTGAACGAGTGTGAAATGTGAGAAGTAGTTCATACAAAGCGAATTGAATGCATGTGATTAACATAATTAATAAGTGTAGTGTAAAAATTAGCAAAAAAATTAATAAAGAAAAAAAAACAGTCACGAAATATCAAGAAAACATTCTAACGGCAACAAGGAGCACAGACGCAACAGTTTAACTGGCTCATTAAGCTATCATTGCCTGTGAGCGACAACAAATCGTTGAACAACCTGTTGAAGATGCTGCTGCTCCACTTACATCACTGGCCATTAGCATTGGCCATCACTTCCTGCATTGTCGCCGCCTCAACAAGCTTCACAACAACAACAACAACAACAACAACAACAACAGCGGCAGCAAGCACGCCAACAAGAAGAACTACAACAACAGCCACAGCATCCTCCATACCGGGCAAATATCAGGCATATGGAAGTCAGCATCAGCCGAAGAAGCTGCGCGCTGGCATTGGAGCCGCTGGCAACTCCAGCGGCGTGGATGCCACTGGCAATAAGCCAGTAAACCAGTTCCGGCAAAATCCTATCAAGAATTGGTTTGGCGTCTTTAATCGTAATAATTCGCCGCCGGCTCAAGACCAAACAGCGACATGTTCCTGCAGGTGGGTACACAAAAAGCTGTCATGGCCATGAGAGCCAACATCCAGTTGGCCAAGTAGTTACCCAACCACACAATAACCGCATTTTATTGGGTGTCATTGTCACGGCATACAAATCGCACTTACAGTTAAAGATACAAATACAGACACAGAGTCAGATACATTTACACACACGCTGCACGCGATCAATTTTGTTCGATCTTTTGACCCACAAAATAAGAGGAGAACACTTTTCGCTGGCATTTCTTATCATTATTTATGAAGGCGTTGCGCTTGTCAGATTGTTGCACATGCATTGCATACGTGACGCTAAAGGTACAAAAAGTGGCCCATTATGAAAGGAATTCAGATGTGAGTGGCAAAAAGAGGAGGAACAATAAAAAAAACTCAGACTTCTTTTAGATCTAGTCCGTAAAGATATTTACTTTAACTTTCTTTATATGTATATGAATCCATAAACTGTTCGACATTAATTTGTTTGTTAGTCAAATCAAAGAAGAACCACAGAAAAGTTCTAGCTTACAAAATAAACGCCTTTATGTCTTTCCACAAAAATTACTTAACAATTTCACGCATCACACTTAACACTAGCCGAGAAGTTTTCCCATTTTCAAACTTAGTTAAATTAAGAGACATCCTCTACCCTTGTGGCCAAGCTACTCAGCCTCAGCTGCTCAGTGCTTGACTCAGAAGATGTGGATTTGAAAAGCATTCCTGAGCTGCCTTCTACAACTTGCGTTGCCTGTGACTGTTGAATTGCCAATGGGGAGTTGCTCGGGCCTTCGGCATTGTCAAGTACCCGTGGGTATTGATGAAGTAGAAACTGTTTGCATAAGCGCAGACACTTCAGGGAGCTCTGAGGAATGTGTTTGTCGGCACTCCCCGCTCAAAAATTTTAATGATCAGCCGAGCTTCGTTCGATGCGCATTCCAACAGAGCTGACTAGATCGAATTAGGTTAGGTCAGTTCCTATGCACGAGGCTTTTCTTCTATCTTAAAGGGAGTGTGTTCGATTTTCACTTTTATTTCTATTCCCCGAAAATGGAGCAGATTCCAAACTGTAAGCTGTAATTTATTGAAAAGTTTTCTTTTACGTATAAATACAAATTTAAATTGAAGAATAACATGTCTCGGCCAGTTTGAAAAAGTCTTCTTTAGCGCTTATAAGACTTTGGGCTTAAAAGCCTAAAACCCGTTTAGTTCTTACTTTTGTATTTTATCTTAATTTTTACTTTTTTTTTGCATTTTAAATGAAATGGGGCTGATTTGCATAAGTTTTGATAACAATCGTTGTGTAGCTTGTGCTTTAAATATCTACGTCTGTATCTGTATCTGTATCTGTATCTGTATCTGTATCTGTATCTGTATCTGTATCTGTATCTGTATCTGTATCTGTATCTGTATCTGTATCTGTATCTGTATCTGTATCTGTATCTGTATCTGTATCTGTATCTGTATCTGTATCTGTATCTGTATCTGTATCTGTATCTGTATCTGTATCTGTATCTGTATCTGTATCTGTATCTGTATCTGTATCTGTATCTGTATCTGTATCTGTATCTGTATCTGTATCTGTATCTGTATCTGTATCTGATCTGTATCTGTATCTGTATCTGTATCTGTATCTGTATCTGTATCTGTATCTGTATCTGTATCTGTATCTGTATCTGTATCTGTATCTGTATCTGTATCTGTATCTGTATCTGTATCTGTATCTGTATCTGTATCTGTATCTGTATCTGTATCTGTATCTGTATCCGTATCTTTATCTTTATTTTTATCTTTAAATCTTTATCTGTGTTTGTATCTGAAGTCTGTTTATATTCTGGTGTATTGGAACCAGCCATATGTGTGGGTTTATTTATAAGGTGTAGTTAGGCTTGGCTCGATGCGTCATATTTTTGTCAGTTTATCAGGGGGAACGCCGCATTCTCTGAATTGGGTCGCACATTTCACTGTTATTGTTTTTGCGTGTTGGTGGTGCTGCTTTCGGGACGCCTTCGATTTTGCCTTGGCCACCATTGTTGGGGCAATGACTTGATTAACAACAAAAAAGAATATCAAGCCAAAGCTTTCTGGGTTTGATTCTTATTGCTGTTTTTTTTTTTTTTTTTTTGTTGTTTCTGAGAGCCGTCGATTGATTTGTGACCAAAAAAAATTATTTAGTATATAAGACCAGAGTATAGAGAACAGGTTGTGCTTTCCTGTGTAAATCGTTTCTCTCCTTCTTTCTCTTTTCCTCTCTTCCCCTTTCTTTCTCTCTCATTCTCTCTGCTTCTGAATCATTTTTGAATGCAGTTTGTTTGGTTTTTGGCAATTATAAACCAGTTTAATGTAACGCTGTATTTATAAAGATGTTGGAAAATCTGCGAAACGTTTGCATACGGTCGTAAAACACTGTGACACTTTCTTTATGACATTATTAATGAAGATGGTTAAGCTGGGTTGTTGAACTCTGAACTTATCAGCGAAGATTATCATTCAATAAACTGGTCATATATAATTATTTTAAGCAGCAGTTTATTCTGAAGCTCTGTGAATTTAGTTTGATGCATGTTCTATAGTTTTAATAGACTCTGCGGCATGTTAACCTTGATCTAATTATGGTATTCACAAAATATACTAACTTCATGCATTTTGCTTTAATAGTAATATAGGCATATCTGTTGATGTTTATCAAGAATATGTAAGTCCTTCAAGGTCGGAAATTATGTATACTTGCAGAATCGCAATTTATATGCTTTCGCCAACTCGTCTAAATGAGTTATACCGTAAACAGAGTATTGATTAGTCGGTTGCATCCGACTGCAACGCTTTTGTTATGCATGATAATAAAGTGGATGACAATCAATTATTACTGAAGCCCGCTCACTATTGCTACTTTTGCAGATGTGGGGAGCGCAATGATGAGTCGAGAATCGTTGGGGGCACTACAGCTGGCGTCAGCGAGTATCCCTGGATGGCCAGACTGAGCTACTTCAATCGATTCTACTGCGGTGGCACGCTGATCAACGATCGGTATGTGCTGACGGCGGCGCACTGCGTCAAGGGCTTCATGTGGTTCATGATCAAGGTGACGTTCGGTGAGCATGACCGATGCAATGACAAGGAGCGCCCGGAAACGCGCTTTGTGCTGCGCGCCTTCAGTCAGAAGTTCAGTTTCTCCAACTTTGACAATGATATTGCGCTGCTCCGTCTCAACGATCGCGTGCCGATCACCAGCTTCATCAGACCCATTTGCTTGCCCCGTGTGGAGCAGCGCAACGATTTGTTCGTGGGCACGCGCGCCATTGCCACCGGCTGGGGCACGCTCAAGGAGGATGGCAAACCCTCCTGCCTGCTGCAGGAGGTGGAGGTGCCAGTGCTCGACAACGATGAGTGCGTGGCCCAAACGAACTATACACAAAAAATGATCACCAAGAATATGATGTGCTCTGGCTATCCGGGGGTTGGTGGCCGGGACAGCTGTCAGGGCGACTCTGGTGGTCCTCTGGTGCGTTTGCGTCCCGACGACAAGCGCTTCGAACAGATCGGCATCGTCTCCTGGGGCAATGGATGCGCACGACCAAGTTATCCTGGTGTCTATACAAGGGTCACCAAATATCTCGACTGGATTGTGGAGAACTCACGGGATGGCTGTTTCTGCGACGAGGATTACTAGGCACGCGTATTCCATTTCAGCTTAGTTATACTTCTACATATAGTCTTATTGCTATGCATATTTTGTACTTTTATATAAAAGAAAACCATACAAAACAACTGAATAAAATTAATATTGAAGTAGGTTAACCTGAAGGTGTTTCCCTGGCGAGTAAAATGAAAGCCTAACCTATAATACGCTACACAACGTTGTTTGCCTATAAGAGTAACAAGATTTGCGGATAGGCTAGGAGATACTTGGGGATCTAAAATCCATTACAGGGTATTAAAAACAGAACTAGATTATTGGGAATCCATCATAAGTCACAGCTGCATATATTTCTTTTGCTACTCAAAAACAAAACGTGCGTTAATTATCTCAAACAGCTCGTTCTTGGTACAGGGTATAGTGAGTGGGGCATTCTCGACTAGACCTTATGAATAAATACTACTGATTTACTGAAACGTGTAAAGCAGTTAACTGCTTATTAAGAAAAATACTGCTTGTGGAAAAACCAAAGCACTGCTCTATTCACTGCTTACTCCTAAGGTAAATTAATATTTAAAATTATCCGTATTTATTCCTAATTTAAACACACTTTTTATTTTTATAATCTAAATTAAAGTTGTTTTATTTGCCGCAATATCGCAAACTTCATGTACTGCAACCTTCAATTTTTATGTACACTCGCGGGAAGCTAATTGTGCAATCTTTTCGAAGTGGACTTTACGAATTTGGCCTTTTGTTGCAACCAAACACACACATATAAAAAAGCTAGTTGCACGTTGCCCGTAAATACTAACTTAATAAATGTTCACATTTAACTTTTCGATTTGGTATGTGTGTTTATGCGGCCAAAAATACAAGAAAACCAAATAAAGTTGATGTAAGAAACTGGTTTCACCTTAAAACAGCTGTGAGTATATAGAGACTTATGGGAGAGACATCTAACGTTCATACTAAACATGAAGAGCAACAGCAAAAGACTCGAAACAGTCAAAACTGAACTTGGCCAAGTGGCAGGTTGAAGCAGCAGCAGAAGACACAAACACAATACTCATCATGCTCTAAGTAAACTTATTTCACATGTTTGCTTTTCATATTTTCATAGAAAATGTGAATCACAGTTTTGCGACTTGCAAAATTTAGAGGAACACGGCACAGATAATATCACTGATAAGAACAACGAAAAGGTATTCTTCTCTCTCTCTCTCTCTCTCTCTCTCTCTGGTAGTCATTTTGCCAATCGGCGGTAATTGGCTTTGAGAGAAAGAAACACATCATCAATTGCAGCGATGAGGCTTTGTCCATATCCACACTTCACTTAGCGCTTTTTGCACACTTTGCGTAATTCGACTCACTTGCGTAATTATTCTATCTGTCGCCGTGCAAAAGATTCGCGCATCCGCAAGATACATTTGTGCACAACTCTAGTCGACTGCAGCTACTGGCATCAGCATGTGCTGACGTCTTCCAGGTCTCTTGGCCTTAGCAGCAGCTTGCGGCAACGTTAAAAACGTTGGCAATGTTTTGTAATTTTGGTTCGTTTCGGCTTTGACGCGGTGATTTTCTTGCTTTTCGTATTTTCTCGCTGCCAGCAGCTGTTGTTTACAGTTTGCCGCTCGCGCGCTCACTAAAAAAAAGGCGCCGCCATGCGTCGATCGCTCCCAGAGATTGTTTCCGTCAGAGAATTGTCTCGGGTGCTGCTCAGCTGATGTCTTTGTTGTTGTTGTTGTTGCTGTTGTTGTTGTTGTTGCTGTTGCCGCTGCATGCCGGAGTTAATTGGCCAAATGATAAAACTCCTCTCTGGCAAGCCCAGTAGGCCCAGTGAGATTTGTTTTGGGTAGTCAATTTCGTTGTTATGCACAGTCTGACATATATTTATTTACGTAAAACATTAGCAAATTAACTAAAATTTACTCTTGAGCAACTGTATATAAATATATATATATTAAATTCGTTGGAACAATGTCTTCAGATAATACAGACGAAATGGCTAAGTCTGGGCACAAACAGAAACAGGAAGATATGGCTGATGCGGAGCAGCCCACAACCTCCAAGCCGGAGCCGGATATTTTTAGTGAGATTGACAAGCGCTTGGGTTTGCTGCTAGACCGAGCCAATAAGCTGGAGTCCACGCTGAATCAGCTGAACGGCAAATGCGCCACAGATGATCAGGAACTGGACGTAGACCTCGGCGATGAGGTGGGAGATGAAGAAGGCTTTGACGATGACACTGATGTTGCGGCAACAGATAATTTGGATCTAGATGCTGCAGATAATGTTGCTCAGATTGATGACGTGACTGACAATCTCGAGAAAATCTATCTAGACATACAAGATGACTAGTTAAACACGCGCTCGACGATACAAAATACGTTGCAGCGAAACCCCAACACGATTTCATACTCAAATGCCATGACATTTTAAATTATTTACAACAAACTGCCAATAGCAAAGCATCTCCCTACTCAGAAAACAACGTTTTAATAAATGTTGTCACATATTGAAAATGTGAAACATCTAAATCTCATCTGAAACTTATTTTAGGCTTTTAATGAAATTTAAAGCTTGTTATTAGCCATTTATAGCATTAAAGCGCCATCTACACGCTGGTGGCAGTACTTAAATGAATTGCTTATGTGTGCACTACCTTATCGACATTCAAACTGGTGGCTTAAATAGTCAACCCTACATTTGTTTGTTAATATTGTTAATATTGTTAGGCATATATATATATGTACACTGCTTTATCGAATATTAAACTGGTGGCCCAAATAGTAAACTCTAGAAAAACCGACCTAGTAAGTGGAGCGCCTGATTGATTGTAGCAGACTAATTGATTGATGATCGATATGTTCATATGGCATACTGAAACACCATATATATATATATTAGATGTAGCTTAATATATGTTATGTAACTATGCATTTTGTAGATAACCAAAAGCATCATTCATAAATCCTCATTAGTTTCCACTGGTATGTTATTTATTTTCTAAGAATCGAGATTATATTTATAAATAAATAACAAATAATAAGGGCCAAAATCACGTGCTAAGTGTTTGAGTCAGAAGTGGTTATTGCGTTTGATGGTTTTAAATAGTGTAAATTGCATCTGTGTTTTGTATACAAATGCTTTTAAAGTTGTGCGAATCTATAAATTGGGTTGTTGAATCACAATATTTGTTTGGCTGGGCAACTTTGTTTCGCAAATAAAGTAGCATCGCCGAGTGCACTGATTGTCATTCATGATAAACCTTCTTTTATCGTATGCGATCAGCTGGACACAGTGTTCATTTTTACCCAAATTATTTGGTTCAAGACTGCCCCATCTTAGGTAGCTCGCAGCTAGACCTGTGGTCATTGACCTGTACTTGGACTGCTCCGCGAGATCAGTTAGATCTGTCCAATAGCAGTTCCTAATATTTAATGCTCGTATCAATTCATCAAACTCTTGCGCATTTCGTAAACTTATCAAATGGGCACCCAGTTCACGACACTTGTGCACAGCCATAAACCAGTTGACTTTTCTCTTTGCCTCAATATAATAATATTTGGAAAGTATCCTTTTAAAAGGTCCCGTGTCTGCATAAAAGCCATTTGAGATCTCATGCACCTGGCTTATATTGGTAAGATTTCCTAAATAAAGTCAATTTGTGTATAAATCTAACTCTGTTTCCATGAAACGCGTTGTACGTTACCTATTCTATGAGAGAGCGAGGATGCCCGAGTGCTGTCTGGCCAGAAATACCAATAAACAGCCAGCAGTAACAGTTTTGGGTCCATTTCGAGTCAATTTTAAATTGAAACTCACAATGCAGTTGCACAACAGTAACTAACTTATTTTCAGAGCATTCGACCTTAAATATACTTGAAATATAGAATGATTTGCCAGGGTTGGCTACCAGCTTGTTGCATTTCATAGGCGAATAGTGAAGCGGAGAAACTAAGCCTTGAGTCTAGGAAAACAAGCACTATTCATGTAAACTAAAGTTTTGGAAATATAATCAACCGACAAACTCTTGACACAAGTTATTGAAAATAAATAATATTTTTACCTATTGTAAATCTATGAAATATGAAATGACTCAAGCTTTAATCAAAAGTCATAATATAGTACGTGTGTATGTATGCAATAATTCGAGCTTTTCATTTCTTCACCAACATGTTAAGAAATTGATTTTGAAATAGTTTTATTATGAAAATGTTCTGATCATAATTAAATTTACCAATTAACAATTGTAATTGTGATGGGAGCATTTGATTCGCATATAAATAAAAATTTTCCCGCACAGTTGGAATCATTTATAAAAAAATTACCATTGAAAAATATAAAAACACAATCTTCGTTGTTATTCATATTATTGGGCTCGCCATAGTCCCATATAAGATGGGTGCTATAACTGAGACCAGTTGTCAACGAACGATATACATTTTTCTCAAAGGGATCTGTCTCGAGAATGTTTCTGTTTCCGCATTAAAATCATTGGCAATACCAATTTGGTGGCTAATATGCGAACTGGTGCCTTGGAAATAGAAAACGAATCTGGCAATTACCAATTTTAAACTTCACTTCTAATTTATATTACCGTCAATTGAAGAAAACCACATTTATAGCAATAAGCTACCAAATATTACGGATAATATTATGGAACACATATCTGTACACTTTGAAAGGAATTTTTATAATGTCACTAAAACTGAGTTTGGTTCCCTTTTTATACTCTACTATTAAAATAATTGGTAAATTTGCCTTTGTTTATGATTAAATTTAAACAAATATGACACATTCGTTAATTTACACTGTGCGCACGCACATATGTATAAGTTTGATAAATTTTACGAGAGATTGAGGTTCAAAAACCAGACTATTTTAAAAATGTCTGATTGATGGATATTAGACTATATCAATACAGCGAGATTGTTTCTATATTTCAAATATACCCGATTGATAACCGATTGATATACTCCCATTGATATCCCATCAAAGTTGTCTACCGCACTTACGGAATTTGTATCTTTTCTATTTGGTGATGTTGGTTAATATTCTGAGCAGACCGGATCATATTTACATTTCCATCGCTTACAACATATATATTGTAAATCCAAAATGCCGATAAGATTTGTCAAATGTTTCGATTCAAATACAAGAGGCATAAGTTTGATGTTAACGGAGAGAACGAGAGCTTTCAATTTTCTATGTGATATTTTGCCCTAGGCTTTTTGTAACTATTTCTCTTAATCATTAAGAATTCCATGCGCTATTTATCTAATTGCTTATCTGAAGAGCGTTAAGTCTTGTATTGGAAACCATCGAGGTTACTCAATATTAAAAAATTTGTCTTTTTCTGTCATAACAGCTGTTAGCGCAAGCAGTGCAAACACTTGACATACTGGCAAGCAGTGCCATCAGCTGATTGCTAACAGTTTGTTGCTGTTAGTAGGCTCTCACTGTTTAGATGTTTCATTCAATTTGAAGCTGCTCTTGTTAAATTGTATTTAAATTGATAAAAGTGTTAATGTTTGACAAACTCAACGAAGATTGCTGGCTTACCATTCTCAAGTATGTGAAGCTATGCGATCAACTGGCACTGGCGCAAATTTCCAGGAGCCTGCAGTGCACTGTCCGATATCATTGGCAGCACCTCAAGGAGGCCCACTTGGACCGTGATGTGCTGGAGCGCTTTGAGCAGCATCCAAATGAAATGCAGGAGTTCCTTCAGCTCGCCAGTGGATCACTGCAGCATTTGATACTGAAACAAGCCAGTATAGCCCTGCTAAAGTCATGGAAATCTTATAGATTTCCTAAATTGGTTAGCCTCAGCTGTGACTTGTGCTTTACCAGCCAAGAAGCGGCCGACGAGGAGACCTTGTTGCTGACCGAACTGTTTCCACATTTGACCAAACTGACGCTGCTGAGCAGCACCAGTGGTAGGCATCTATGGACTTGGGACAAGCTCGAGGAGTTGCATTTGATGTGCTGCGAATCGTTGGATACGTCAACCTTTGAGCAGATATTTAGCTCGATGCCATTACGCAAACTCACACTTCTATTTTATGGTTACAGTGTTAATCTCGGCGAGGGCGTTCTGCCCGTCTCAAAATGCGCTACGCTAGAGGAGCTTGTTATAGACGATCACCACTTGCTGGGCGCTTTCCTGCCCAACTTGCTGCAGTTGCCCAGGTTCCGTCGACTGGCCTTCTACACCCGTGACTATTACGAGGGGCTGCTTCTAACTGTGGCCAAGTTACGGCCGCTCAAGGTGAAATCGCTGCTGTTCAATGATGCCTTCTGGAGCAGCTCTCGTGTGAGCGATGGGATTATGCGCATGTCGAATCTGCGTTGTCTGGCGTTGTACGATGACGATATTGGGACGAAAGAGCTGTACAACATTTGCGCCAGACTGCCGCAATTGGAGGAGTTGCATTTGATGAAAATGCGCGCATTGCCCACGCCCACACAGCTCTGGGACATAGTAGCCGCATGCGAGACTTTAAAGGTCCTAAACTTATCTAGTAGCCAGCTGGACAAACAGTTTTTGGATCTGAGCGCCACATGTCTGGATAGAGTGTTAAAGAAGCGGAGTGCATCCTCGACTCTTACTCTACACCTCCACAACACTGTCCTTGATCGCAGCCCGAGTAAGGTGCATTAATCTATATGGGAGAAGAAATAATTTGATTATTAACTGGTGCTACTTTATTTGCAGGTCTTCCCAGAACTCAATCATCAGAATCTGAATATTTCTTTTGAGGCAATCGATTTAAATATTTGGAGTTCGCGATTTGTAGAAATTGTTTTTAACGCGTCTGTAGATTAAGTGTAGCATATTTCAAAATTAAATTTTAAATGTGCCTTTTTATAAAAAAAAAAAATTACGGATTTAAACTCTATTTTTAATTTGACAGGCATAAATCCTCAAAGTTAGGATCAAGTAAGTCAATGATTTTCACTGTTGTATTTCTTTTTAATACATACACATGAAAATAATACAATTATTAAAAATTATAAAAAAATCAAAAATAAATATACATAAATATTTAAGCTGTATCTGCTTAGCTTACAAATGCCATTGCTTGAAAACCGATTTGCTTTTGTTTTTTTTTGTTTGTTTTTTTTTTTTAAGATGCGTCCAAGGGCTTTATAACTTATTTATATATATAATATTATATTATATAATCGTCATAATATAATATTGTATAACATATTTTTGCTGGATAGCCTACTTCAAGAGTTTGGGGCTTCGATGCATCTGATTATCGATTTTAAAACGAGGAAACGTCAACTAAGATTCTAGATTACAGTTCAGTACAGTTAGAAATTAGTTATTGCTGCTAATGCTTTTTGTTGTTAATTTAAATGGTTTAAATATGCTGGCAACTTTTACGTATATGCATGTTTGTATACATATTTATATATAGAATATGTATAAATATAATACAAATATAAGTTTCGCTTAGTATACGTTCTATAATGTTTATAGTTAATTTTTGCTAAACGATCACAATGAACAGGCACTCACACACAGGCACTCAAAAAACACATTCAAACATACTCATACACGCATTCATACGCTTAAAGATTAGAATTTCGCACTTACGACTTAGGTTACTGGACTTAAATCATCTAAATGGGGGGAGGACTCGTTACGTATTCCTTTTCTTTATACAGTGATGGGCAACAGTTTCCAAAGATCGCAATTCTGAAGTCGGTTCCAATATTCGATGTATCCAGATATCGGATTGATTTGATTTGATTTGATTTTGACTTGTTGCGTTTTGAAAGGGTTGTCCATAACTGGGGGTCTCTTTTTTTCTCATTGCTTTTTCATTGCTTTGACAAAAGTTTTTATAAAATTTTGGACTTGCATTTCGTATAAAAGAAATTCTAATAACATTTTTGTTTCATGGATGAATGACTGAGAGGTGTGGGCGTGCAGCGGACATGGGGCGTGATATGTTCCACCTCAGCTGCACTTGTTCGCTTGCTCGCTTCGCTTTTTCGTTGGGGGCAGCGTTTTAAATTAATCACAGCAAATCGGCGCAGACGCCACCGAACCACGCCATATAAAGAGGCAGCAAATAGACGACCAGAGCCCGACGCAGCGTCATCTTCTCCGGTGCATTGGAGGTGCGCGTGGCGCCGTCTGTTGAGGAGTTATGGCCGGTGTCATCATCGTCATCGTCGTCGCCATTGCTAGGCTCATCCAGATCATTATGATCGTGGGTCACGTGCGTGGTATGCACCAGCGGATTCTTGTCATCCACATTGGGACGCGATGTGTGGGTGGTAACGGACGGATTTGTATCCTCATCATCATCGTTATCAGAGTCTACACGCACCGACGGATGCTCCACGTCCGGCTTGTGGCTGGGCTCAAACGGACCCAAGCCAGAGCCCTCGTCATCGTCTTCATCATCCTCGGAGCCCGAACCGGAGCCAGCGCCGCTGCCCATATAGGGTTCCTCTGCAATTTAGATAAACATTAGCCCAACTAAAATCTCAACTGCACACAGTTCACTTACCATGCTCGCTCCAGTCCACATCCTGGCCATTGTAGGCATTGCGCAAATGGGTGATTGCGTTCTTCAAATGGAACAGCTGCGTGGACATCTGTGCAGTTTGGCGCGTGCTCGCTGGATTGCCGCTAAATTCGGGATTCGAGCCATGCTCCGTGGTAACTGCGTGCATATATCTAATGGGGGATGACAATTAGTAATGTGTGGAGATGGTCGAGCTGGCAAGTCTTACCTGTCTATCGTGTGTCCATTCCAGCACATGCCATCTACATCGGACGAGGCGGCAATGTCCTCATTGCTGCATATCGAAATCGGCAGGTTTGACCAGAACTTCTTGTAGTCCTTCACGCGCTGGCGTATATCCCGCACAACCTTGTCAAGAATGGGATCCCTGCTGCCGCCATTGTTGTCACCATCATCGTTGTCATTGTCATTGCGATTGTTCTGCTGCTGCTGCTGCTTGCGTCGCTGCTGTTGCTGCTGTTTCCGGCGCTGCTGCTGGCGCTTGTTGCCGCCTCCATTGCCATTCACGGGCACGCCCTGTTCCTGCGACTGCTGGGCCGACGATTCTTGTGAGCCTGGCTCGGCGGCACGTCGCTCGCGCAGCACAATTGCCTCATCCAAAGTGGCATCAATGTCGAGTGTGTCCGTTTCCGGCGCGCTATCTGCACGCAGTTCCTGCACAGCGGCAGCAGAAGGTGCCAGCAGAAGTTTGGGATTAATGGAGCGCTTGGTACGTCCCAATGTGGGCTTGCCACAGCCCTGGAACACCCGATTGGTGATGTCCTGACCGGAGTCCTGAGAAAATGAGCAGGCCATTATGTTAGAAATTGCGTTTGAGTTGAGTTGAATAGTCAAAATTCATAGTATAATCATATAGTAGAAGAAAAAACCATGCCACAACCTAAAATCAAAAAAAGATCCCGTTTGATTTCGTAGTCGGTGACTCTAGAAGTGTAACCCTAAGCAGTTACTCTCAAACAGCTATTAAGACATGGGGGCACAACTGGGCTTGTTGTATTTTATCACCATTTATAAGCTTCTCCAAGCTCCTATTATATCATATAGATGCCATAAAAATGAACGGTCGAAGACTAAGTTCTTATATGAAAATGAATTTTGGATAATTTGCAAATTTGTTTTTTTTGTTTTTCACAGTTTTTATAAAACTCATTAATTAAGAGCTTCAATATTCTTTTCATCTATATATTAGCGTAATATGTATATACTTTAAACTTTGCAAACATAATCGCAGCTCTATAAGACGTTTCACCAAATGCACGATCCGACTTAATTTTCAATTGGAGTGCGGAAGATCTAAGGGCCTGTTGAGAGCGCATTGTACATTGTACAACTGCATAGTCGCGGCATACAAACAGATATTTATAAATGTATTTTACACAAAGATAAGCTACATATATGTTTGATTTACTACTCCTGCAAGCCGTGAGACCGTCGATTAATTGTAAGGCTGCCTGGGCCGGTGTGGCCTTATCGGCAAGGTTTTATCTGCAGGCGGTAATTGTTGACACGACGACTACTTCAAGTTAAGCATGGAGTCGACAAACAGTTTCGACTACTATTTACAGTTAAGGGTCGTGCTGGGGTTAGGTATAGTATCTAAGTAGCGCTTATCTAAGTGTCCGTCAACACGCCGCTTTGGGCCTATCCCAACTATTAAGCAAAGCTAACTGTAATCGGTGAATTAAGAGCTGTTTGTAATCTCTGATTTGCTAAAAATAAATGACGAAATGTTAAAAAAAAAAAAAAACTAATAAGAATTAAATTAAAAACTATTTTGCTTGCGCCGTTTGGCCTTTTATGAGGCCGACACAAAGTAAAAACACAAAATAAACACATTAAAAGCTGAACGCCGCACTACAATAACAACAGAGTCAGCAAAAACAACAGCAACAAAAGACACACACACACACACACACACACACACACACACACACACACACACACACACACACGCATAGAACAAACAACAAACAAAGTAGAAATGTATAAATTTTAAATGGAAATATAAATTAAATTCATATGGGAACCAAATGTTGTGCAAATAAATCGTTAAAATGGCAAACAAAACACAAGAATCAGAAGAAGAAAAATGGCATCGGGCCGGGGGAAATAAAAATGGGGTGGCGAGGGCTTGAACGGGGCCTTGAAATATTACAGTAATCAAAATTCAATAAATTGTGAGCACTATTCATATGTAAATTGGCATAAATCTGGCATCTTATGCATAGTAATTGCTGAATGGCAATGTACAATAGGAGCTTGAGATTATTAAATCAAAACTAGAAAACGATATCGAACGATGTGGAGTGGACAAATTAATAAGTAGGAAGATGAGACAATCAAATCGAAAAAATGATATTCTTGAATAACTAACGAAATTCGATTTAGAAATTCGCGACAACTGCCAATATTAAGCGGTTTTCCCATACTTATTCTTTGGGATCGGGTCAGTCAGCTATTCAAATGAGCATGGGCCATCCCGTCATAAGCTACACGGACAGCTTTATGAGATAATTTATAAACTGAAATCAATGGCCATAAAAATAAAAAATCAGCAGCTGTTAGCCAAACGAGTTGAGTTCAAAACAAGCAAAGGTTATGCGGAAATACTCAACTAAAATGATACCCTATAACTCAGGTCTAACTCATTGCCAAAGACCTTTCGCATGCGTGATTGCACTTTGAAGACAAACGTTTGGCCGAGCAAAGCCAGATAATGCCAACCTAACTATGTCTTTCCGATTGGCAATATCTGAGCTGCATCCTTTTGTTTAATATATACTCTACTACAATCTGGATAGCATTATTGGAAAGGAGAAAAAGCACACACACCTGGAAGTTCATGATGGCCTCGGAGATTTTGATGTTTATGGGCTCCACAACCATCACAATGTTGAACGAGCCGAGCATGCGTTCAGCCACCTTGTCCATGGCCAGGGCAAAGTTCTCCCACTCTGTGTCGAACTCGTGCAGGTAGTGTAGACAGCCCTTGATCACATTTACGCAGTAGTTGGTGCAGGGCTTTTCCGTGTAGCCCTTGCAGGCACCGCAGTGTTGCATTTTGGTCAGCGCGCCCGTGCAGTCCGGATTGAGTCGAATCTGAATACAGGCAAATACCGTATTGGTTTTAATCGAATACATTTTCGACAATATTTCATTCACTTACGGTTAATATTCGTTTGGAGACCTCGGCGGCGGTGGCCAGTGCCTGTCCGTAGGTGCGTGTGGCCACAAAGGATCGTTTGATTTGAACTGAAAGCTTGTCGGGCACATCGCCGAATGGCTTCAGTTCCTTCATGT